GAGAAGCTGACGACGCTCACCTTCACCGATGCGGGCCTGAGACGCGAATTCCAATTCCCGCCCAATGCTGACGCGATATGCTTGTCAGCCCATAAGACACGACAGCGAGACTCTGCATGAGTGTGTCATCTGCCTGGGCTAGCTGCAGAGCTGAGGATGGGTACGTCACCTTTGTGCTGAACACGCCAGGCTCAGACATCGCTGCCAACACACCAATCATGTAAACTAAAGACCCACACGCATGGGATGGCATGGCATGGCTCCCCTGTCCTGTCGTGCCTGCCTGCTTAATCAATCGGTCTGTCTCCTTCCTGTGTGCATGTCAGGGTCGAGTTTGTGGTGACGAATCCCTCTGCCATCGTGACGTCCCCCAAGCCCTTCGAGGTGTGGTCATGCAAGCCGGTCGTCATCTCGGGCATCGTCACGGACCCTCCAGGCATTTGTGTCCTCACCGACCTCGCCGACTACGCCGCCAGCGGCAGCTCGCTCGACTTCGTCAGCATCTTCGGCATACCCATACGCGCATCATTCGACGCAGATTTCCCAATGTATATATGCAGCCAGCCGAGAAACGAGACACAAACAAGGAGAAGACCTCCATGTGTGTGTGTGTGTGTGCAGGCGGGGATCTGTCGAGACGGAGGGCACGATGGTGTTTGTGGCGGAGCTGCTGATCACTCTGCCCGACAGCGACGTCCCGCCGCAGATGGGCGATCAGCTCAGCATCGTGCCGCCGCTGGGGTTTACGCCCCTCTGCTCCACCAAGGGAGACACGCTGCCGACGGTCGAGGAGGCCCTCAACAACGCCACCCTCATCGATGCCGGCATGGCCATCACACCGTACGCAGGGAGACAGACAGACGAGTAGTTAGTGGGCAGAGACACACAGAGAGTGGGCCGGGCCCTGGCCTTGACTAAATGGGTATGTATGTGCCTGCACTCAGGCATGAGGAGCTGAGTCTTGGCGTGTGTACCCGCGGCGACAAGCCCACAGAGGTGACTTTTGAAGTGGTCGGCGCGCCCCCTTCTGATGGGTCGGGATCGGCTGAGCGCACTCTGTCTGGCAACCGCACCCTCAATCTGACCATCATGGGCCACAACCCGAATGCACCAATCGGCCTCACTGACAACTACTGGCAGGTGAGGCTGAGAAGCGCCGATTGTTGATCAGTCAGTCCGCGGATCAAATCAGCTCACTCTTGTTGTCAGGTTCGGTACCATCGTGAGCTGGGAGGCGATGTGAGCCAGCAGAAAACCCCGGGGTGGGGCGTCAGGCCGATGGTAAGTACCGTACCGTCAGCCACGACAAGGCAAGACAGCCCGCTCGCACCGACCTCTTATTTATCTGTGTGCGTGTGTGTGTCACATACATACACATTCATTGTTGTTCAGATTCTGGATCTCCAGGTATACTTGGAGAAGGAGTTCGCCAGCGCCACGTCATCCCGCCTGGTGGCGGCCACCTCCACCGTCACCGTGTCCTTCACCCCCATCCAGTCGTTCGACCGCCTGGACATCGCCAGCAGAGACGGTTTCTCATTCGGCAGCGCCGTCCCCTCTTTCGGCGGCCTCGTCCCCACCGCAGCGGGGCTCACCCTGCAGGCCCTCTCAGGCACGGCGGGCCAGCCCTTCCTCGTTCGCTTCATCAAGGTCAGCAACCCCACTTTTGCCAGGCCTGACGGGACGACGTGGGCCATCACGACGCGGCTGGGGCTGGAGGAGGCTGACCACAGCGCCAATATCAACCAGGGGCCCAGGAGTGGCATTTTCGACCGGATGACAGGATTCGAGGCGGCGAACCTTGCAGCCGATGGAACCACCTCCACTGTAAGCACAAGACAGACAAGACTTACTGGCACATCGCAAGGCGCTTAAATTGTCTCATGATGGTTGGCTGCAGGAATCGACGAACCTGTTCGAGACCCTGCACACCGTCAGCTTCAAGGTCTCTTCTTCCATCAAGATCGAGAGCGACACACGTGTCGCTGTCGTGGCCGAGAACGGGCCCTCTGCCGCCGCTATCACCACCCACCCTTCAATCATCGTGATACCCCCGACAGGTCAAGTCGAAAGGAAACACGGCAGGGCAGCCATCGACCATGCGGGTTTCTGTCTGTCTTTTGTTCGTTCAGCGTTTGAGCTGCAGACGCTAGAGCGCACCTCTGTGGTGACGAACCTGTTCCCCGAAGTGGCCCTTTCCTCCGGTGTGCCGATCGGGTCTGAGGGCGGCCGAGTGTGGGCGCTGCAGGGGCCCATCCCTGCCAGGGAACTTCTGCAGTTCACCGTCACCGTGGTCAACCCTGCCGAAGCCGACATCGACGGCACCGCCAAATGGTGCGTGTCTGTCTGTGGTGTGTCCGCACTCAACCTCGACGAATGTGAGACTCACATCTCCTTGTGTGCGCCCACAGGAGTTTTTTTCTGGCGATGGAGAACCTGACCGCCCCTGACACTGTCGTGGGCATCACGGGGTATGTGGTCCATGCGCTGGGCGACTGGCCAATCAGCCAAGTGAGTGCACACACTGAACCACACACCAGCCAGTTTTCTCCCTCTCTGTCTCCTGTTGGCGAGCTCAGTATCTGTTGGCGACCGGGGGCCTAAAGGGCGAGATCAGCGATCTCGTGTGGAGCAGCATCTCGTCGCAGGCCGTGGGTGCGGAGGGTGCCCTCTGGCGGCTGGCTTTGGTCCCCAACATCGACGCAGGCGCGCCACAAGAGTACCTGGAGGTGGTCCTGACCCCGCCCACACAGCCACCGGCCAACTTCAGCTTCCCAGGCACTTGCAGCGACGCATCGCAGGCCGACTGGCAGTGCTTTGGCGGCAATACCGCCAGGCTCAGGAGTCTCGTGCTGGGGGCCTCTTATGAGGTACGTACGCGGCAGGAGAATGGCACTGGCTCACTATTCTCTGCAATGGCTGGTCTGTCTGTCTGTCTGTCTGTCTGTCGTGTAGGGTGGTGTGGCGCAGTACATCACCTTTCTGGTCAACCACCCCAAGCAGCCCGTCAACGAGTCCGATCCCGCCGCCTGGTGGTCCGTGTCGATCGGCACCGTCGACAGGACCAGCCTCCAGAAGACGCCCAGGATGATCATCACCAACCTCCGACCCCCCACCCTTAAAGTCATGACGGCTCAGGTCAGGTGATGCATGCACACCTGACTGAGAAAATGCCCGCCCGCCCGAGCGACAGGCTTGCACGTGTACGTTTGTTTATTTGTCTCTGTGTGTCCTTCCTTGCCATGCAGATAGTCTATCCGCCCGAGAGCAACGCCGAAGTGCGTGTGACGCTCATCTTCGTCCCAGAGGTGGTGGTCAGTGCCGGCTCCATCCAGCTCTTCGCGCCCGCCGGCTTCGAGTTCAGGGGCGACAACCTGGCCAGCAACGACTTCTCGCGGGTGGGGGCCAACGCACAGCTGGCCAACGGTGAGCTGAAGCCGATCTACATCAACAATACTGCCGAGAAGACCATCGCACTGACCCTCAAGACCCCCGCCTCGCCACCCGGGCGGCCTCTGTTTGGCATGGCCGTCATGGTGAGTCAAGTGACAGTGAGTGGGTCGACGCACGCAACTTCCCTCCCTCCCTCCCCACTTCGTCTGGTCTGTGTGTGTTTCTGTTGAATGCAATGCAAGAATGCTGACGGTTTGGTGGTATCGGCCAACTATGCGATTCCCGGCTCGGCAGTGGTCCCGGACAGCATCTTCAAAAGCCTCGACTCCATCAGGATCGGGTGGGTGGGTGGGTAAATGGGCGGGGCGGGGCGGGGCGTGGGGCGAGGGAACCAAACCGACATTGTTGCACGCGTAATTACTTGGCCCATCGATCTGCCATATGTGGGTGGGTGCAGGTCGAACCAGCTGGGCGCCACTCATCGCCTCTATCTTGCCATCGTCATTACAGAGCTACCAAAAACACTACGTAAGTATGTATCTATGCCTCCCACCCACACCCACCCTACACACAAGCAACATCCATCCATCCATCCATTCATCGGCTGTCTCTGTTTCTCTCTCACTCAGGCGACCGTCTCTCTCTGGACATCCAGAGCCCCTTCCCACTGTCCTTCCCCGACGAGGAGACAGCGGGGGGGTGTGCGGCTGAGCTGCGGCCGTCGGTGCTGCTGGAGGACGCCGCCGACGATTACGAGTGTAGTGTGCTGCAGAACGGCGACCTGCGGGTCACGTTTCTCATCGGCGACAACCGCATCCGTAACGACACTCTCACTGTCACCTTGAGCACCATGATCGTGAACCCCACACAGCAACAGGCACCTGATCTCTCCGGACAGGTCATCCTACAGGTACTGTTAGCCCATTCGTGTCTCCCTGTCCGTCTGTCTGTCTGTCTGTCTGGTGGATGCATGTGATATTTGTGCGTTGGTGTTGGATTGGCTTGATGTGTGCAGGTGCGTTGGTCGACTGGTGCGGGTGGCATGTTGATGGACGCCTCATTCAGCGTCCGCTTCGACGACCCCCTCATCGTCGATACGGCCAAGGGACGCGCCAGGCCGAGACACACACCCTTCTGGGGGGCGGTGGAGCGGGGGACCACCGGATGGGTGCCACTAGCCATTCTGTTTTTCCATCTGCTGGTGTCACGATGGGTCGAGAACGTGGTGGGATGAGGTGCCTGGGTGGTGATGGAATGAGGTGCGAGTGGTGTCTTGATATCTATCTCGTGCGTGTTGTTTGTTTGTACAAATGCAATCAATGCGTGTGGGGTGGGACCGACGCTGCTTGTTTGTCTTCCATGTGTACAGACAGACACTAGGCTATATATGCGAATCAAAACCCCAACCTGTGTAAAGCTCAATGAATGCATTGATCAATCGATCGACCAGCAGGCAGCGTTATCTATCTCTCAGTCCACACACACGCACACGGCAAAAACGTGGCAAACCCACACACGCACTCTCGAACCCACACACGCACTCTCGCTCTCTCCCTCCCTCCCTCCCCCTGGTCCGTCCGCAGAGGAATGCATTCAATGCAGCCATGCCACTCCTCCACTCCACTCACTCCACATGGTACATGAAACACGGAGAAACACAAGCCAGCCAGCGATATTATTGCACTCATGCCAGAAGCAATCGATCAAATCAGTCCGGGACTGTGTGTATGTCGGTCGGTCGGTCGGTCAGTGAGCAACTCTTCCTTCATTTGCAGGCCTATGCGTCCCCCCCCCTCTGTCTGTCCTTCGATCCCTCTCTCACTCACCCAACCGGCCCGCAGTCAAAGGAAGAAAAATCAAACGCAGCAGCATAGCAGCATGGTGGTGGTGTGGGAAACGGGTGGGCGGGGAGGGAGGGTGGTGTGGCGTCGCGGCATGGCATGGCACGGCACACGCAGACATGCACCACGTGCTGTGCTGCCCCTCTTGTCTGTCTGTCTATCGGTAGAGACCGTTGTTGAATTTGTCCACAGTGTACTCCTCGCGGGGCTGGAGCACCACGAAGTCGCTCTCGTACTTCTTCAAAAGCTCCTTCTCCCGCTCTGCATCATGCCATGCGCACACACCACACGCAGACAGACAGCACACAAACAGCCGGTGAGGTGACAGCCTCCTCCTTTGTGAGATGAGACCTGGTGCTTGACCAACCCAGCTGCTGACTGACCTGAGAGTCCCTTGATGCTGTAGACGTCCTTGACGTTCTGGTAGGGGCCGTTCTTGGCCAGCTTGGCGCCCAGGGTGGGGTACATGCCCGGCAACCTCTGGTACACACGCACATTGGCGTTGTTCAGATCAATCTTCTCAGCGCCGCCTGCATATGGCAAACATGCACAGACGCGCAAGCATAGGTCGTCATCACAGGGCCTCTGTAAGTGTCAGTCGTTCGTTGATGTGTGCCCACCTAGGTAGCCGACGCCATCGTAGTCCCGGACGGCCTCTGCCGCGAAAGGTGTGGCGAAGAGGGCGGCAGCCAGGGGAAGGGACGCTATCGACATCAGCGCGTTGCGGCGGGACACCTGGTGACAATGTGCAAGACAGATCCGCAGATCTACCTTCGGCGCAGCAAGTCGACACTTCTGGTTTCTGACCTCTCCATCCTCGGCCATCATCCTGAGGCTGGTGGCGCCCTGACGCCTGAGGCTGGTGGGCCTCTGAGCAGGGAGGACGTACGCCTCTGCGCACAGAGCGAAGCTGAGGGCGAGGGCAATGACGGCCTTCATTGTCAGTGAGTGAACGAGGAGGAGAATGAAATCAGGGGAGGTGCCGCTGGTGCTGAAAGACGCGAATACTGCCAGCGCGATCGGAGAAAGCTCGCGCTCGCTGATTGGTTCAGTTCAAGAGACGGCAATCGCAAGGATTTATTTTCATTCCCGGAGCCAGAGAGGGCGTGGGCATTCCCAGGGCCCGTTTCCGTAACCAACCGACCAGCCAACCAGAGGCCAGGCCGGCGATATCATCATGGCGTATTCCCCTGACTGGCGAGGCCTCTCGCTGCTCTTCACATGCTTCTTGAGTTGCCTTGTGATTGGCAATGCACAGGCGACACAAGACGGGCCGCCGTTGGACGAGGTACCTCCACATGGCGACCAACACGGGCAGATCTATGAGTGCATGCACCACTTTGTATGGGATTACCGCACCTTGTGTGCCAATCAAATGTGTGTTGTCGATGCCTGCCTGCAGTATGTCGGATGGCTGGTCGTCATTGGGTTCGGTCTCGTCTTCACGCTGATCACCATGTGGCTGCAGGTGAGATCCACGCGCACATCTGCCATTGAGTGCACTCACCTCAGTTATGTGATGTGTGCGTGTGAATTTTGTGACACTCTCTGTGTGTGTGTCACACACAGAACTATGAGGAGAAGGTGGTTGGCACCAAGATGACGTCGGAGCACTTCAACACCGCCGGCCGCAATGTGGGTGCGGGGCTGACGGCGGCCGTCATCGTCTCGCAGTGGACCTGGGCAGCCACACTCCTGCAGGTCGGCCAGCCAGAGAGGGAGTCAGTCCTGAATGATGATTCCCGCCCGCATGAGCTTCAAACCGATGACGAAGAATCTTCTGTCTGTCTGTCTGTCTGTCTGTCTGTGCGTTGGGCTGGGTGCGGTGACTGCAGTCGTCCAACATGGGATGGCGGGTTGGCGTCAGTGGCCCCTTCTGGTACGCGTCGGGCGCCACCATCCAGATCCTCTTGTTCGCCATCCTTGCCATCCAAGTCAAGCGGCGGTGCTCCCACATGCACACCTTCCTGGAGGTCATCAGGGCGCGGTGGGGGACGACCGCACATATCGTCTTTCTCGTCTTCGCGCTGCTGGCCAACTGCATCGTGACGGCGATGCTCCTGCTGGGAGGGTCCGCAGTCATTGAGGACCTCACGGGCATGCGGAAGGAGTTCGCGGCCTTCTTGGTGCCTCTACTGTCGTGCCTCATCTACACGCTCAAGTGGGGGCACATTCATTTCATCCATCAGAAAAGAGCCTGTGTTCGCCTGACTGAGTGACGATGGATCGTTGGTTTGCTTGTGGGTGTGGTGCAGGGGTGGTCTTCGCGCGACCTTCTTCGCGTCTTACATCCACACGACCATCATCTTCGTGGTGCTGCTGATCTTCACCTACACCATCTACACGTCGGGCGGCGACGGGGCGTATGGATCGATCGAGAACGTCTTCAACAGCCTTACGGTGAGATCCGCAGGAGGAGGAGGAGCAGCAGCGGCAGAAACACTCGCTCCATCTCTGCCTGTGTGTGTGCCTTCCCCCCTCTGCACAATTGCAGCAAAACGCCGAGCACGCCTTCTTCAACAGCAACGACCCGACCACCGGCCTCAATGAGCACCCCTTCATCAACGGGATGGTCGGCAACGACGGCCAGTGCTACACGAGCGACCAGACACTGATCGAGGGCACCACATGCAGCTACCGCGAGGTAGATGAATGCACCACCGGGCCCGGCTGTGTCAAGTTCCCCGTCGGCGGGCAAACACAGCAGTTTGCCGGGGACTGCAGCGACGGGGAGACGGTGAGTGACTGAAGCAAGCCTTAGAAGGCGAGGAACACCCACGTGCATGTGTGTGTGTGTGTGTGTGTGCAGTGCGTGAGTTCGTTCCTGACCATGTCGTCGACGACTGGGATCATCTTCGGTGTTGTGAACATCGTCGGTAATTTCGGCACTGTCTTCGTGGACCAGTCCTACTGGCAGTCAGCCATCGCCGCCAAGCCAAAGGCCACCGTTCCGGGATTCCTCATTGGGGGACTCGTGTGGTTCGCCGTTCCGTTCGGCATGGCCACCACCATGGGTCTCGCCGGCCGCGCCATAGCCACCGAATGGGGCTGGGACTTCATAAGTGCGGAGGCCGCAGGGGCAGGCTTGGTCCCCGCCCGCGTGCTGACAGCCTCGCTCGGCTCTGGCGGGGCGTTTGTGTTGCTGCTTATGCTGTTCATGGCCATCACGTCGACGGGGTCGGCCGAGCTGATCGCAGTTTCGTCCATCCTGACCTATGACCTCTACTGGCAGTACATCAACCCCGAGCTCAAGTACCGCCGCACCCAGAGGCGCATGAAGTTGTAAGCCACCAACACGGGGAGGGGGAGGGAGAGAGAGACCCTCTTATGGCTATCTGTCTGCCCCTGCCTGTCTTTTCTACGTGTGTGCAGCTACAAGGAGGTGGCGAGGGTGCTGGCGGATGAGGACGAGAAGACGGCCGAGAAGCTAGACGAGATGGACGAGCAGTCAGTGCGTCAGCGAATCGTGTCGCTCAACGAGCAGCGGCTCAACAGGACGCAGGTGACGAACCTGATAGCGCGGATGCAGGACATCAAAGTGCTGGACGACCAGCTGACCGAGCAGGATCTCGAGGACCTCGTGGCCTATGTCCTCGAGTACGACGAGAGCATGGACGGCGCTCTGGTCAAGGACGTCTACCACCAGATCAACAGGAGAGGTAGGGAGGGTGGTGGCTGGCTGGGGAAGGGCGCTTGTGGGTGGATGTGTGTGTGTGTGTGTGTGTTTGGTGACTGGTTCATTCAGTGGCGACTGAGGACAAGGAGGGCCACATTCTCCTGCGCGTGTCCAAGTTTTTCACCGTCATGTTCGCCATCTTCATGGGCTTCCTTGCCGTCATGCTGCAAGTAATGAATCTCAGCCTCGGTAGGCACACACTAGCATTCATTGATATGATGAGACACCACCCACACCACACCACACGCTGTCCGCCTCATGCTGCCTCCCTCCCGCTGCCTCCCTCTTGTTCCTTCCTTCGTGCGCTCGTGTCGTGTAGGGTATGTGTACATGGCGATGGGCGTCTTCATCGGGTCAGCAGTGGCGCCATCGGCCATGTGCATCCTCAGCCGCAGGGCCAACGGGAAGGTCTGCACCTTCGCCGCCCTCGCTGGCCTCGTCTGCGGCCTCGCGGCATGGTTCGGCCAGACGGGTCTTCAGTACGGCGAGGTCTCGCTGGCAACCACTAACCAGGGTAAGCACCACCACGGATGGGTATCTGTACTGCGTGGCGCATTGATTGGACTTGATATATGCAGATTTTCCCTTCATCGCGGGCAATCTGGCTTCCATTTGCGTGTCGCTGGTCATCTGTGTGGTCGGGAGCTTCTTCTTTCCTGACCGACACTTCCAGTGGGAGATGCTGAACGAGAAGATTCCCCTTGTGGACGACGTCGAGCCGCCCAAGGATCCCTCAGAGACGCCCGAGAACCTTTACAGGTGGTATATCTGGTCCCTCATCGCCGCTGTGGGCATGACGATCGTTCTCGGTGGGTGACACACAACACCAAACAAACACATCACACATGGCGCCACCCTTCTCTGTTCATGGTGCCGACCTCACTTGGTGTGTGTGTGTCAGTGATTCTGTGGCCGCTTCCGATGCATTTCATCGGCGGTGTGTTCTCGTTCGGCCAGTTCAGCGCGTGGGTGGGTGTGGCGATGGCGTGGTCGACCATCGCCGCCGTGGTCATCGTGTTCATGCCCCTCTGGGAGCTCTACCGCGGCCTGCAGGCCGGAAGGTCAGTCAGTCGAGCAGACAGGGCAGACAGGCGTCCATCGGTGCTGTGCTGCATTCATTGATGGCCTTTGTTTGTACGTTTTTGGGTGCAGGTCAGCGCGGATTGAGCACGAGAAACACATGATGGAGGTCGCGTCGCCAGTCCGCAAGATCGTCGAAGTAAGCCAAGCCAGCCGCGGTTGAAGTGTGTTTGTGTTGTGTACGCATTCTCTCTCTCTCTCTCTCTCTGTGTGTGTGTGTGTGTGTGTGTGGTCCACCCACTCACGACGCAGCACGAGTCGGGCAACTGGATATCTGGCGGCACGTCGCCCACGGTCGACTACACTCCCACTGCAGGCAACCAGAAGATCGACGTCTGACTGGCATGAATGGCGGAAAGAGAGAGATTCCTTTTGCGGGCCGGCAAAGGGGTGGGCTGTATGGCTTTATCCATCGCGTGAGGGAGGCATCAATTGCACTGCAGGCATTCGTCCGTCCGTCCGTCCGCTCGTTCGTTGGCCTTGTGTGTTGTGTGTTGTGTGTTGTGTGCCCCTGTCCGTCCGGCTGGTCAGCGGCGGTTCTTTTTGCCCGTCGTGACCACCGGACGGACGGAGCATGTGTATGGATTGGATTGCATACAGGCTGTCGTCGCCGACCTCTGCGTACCAACGTATGTGATGACTCTCGTGAGCACCTTTGTGAGCGTGCGTGTCTGCCTGCATTGTGGATGCGTGTATCTATCTAGCGATAAATGCGTGTGCCTGATGGATGGATGGATGGCTGCAGCACTCAAGCAAGCAACACTTGTGTCGTGTTGCTGGCTGCTAGCTCGATCCCTTTTTGTGCTGTGGTGTGGTATAAGTCAAGTGCTGCATACATAATGTTCTGTTGATGGATGGATGTGTCAGACGAGGCGAGCGGGCGGGGGCCCCTCGTGCACTGCATCCATCCATCCATCTCTGTGATATCGGTTTGTGGGTGGGTGCGACACGCACGTCTCGTCTCTACTGACTCGTAGCCAGCTGCCTGCCTGTGAGGGAGTGGGAGAGATCCGAAGGATATGTGGCCTCTCTGTCTGTCTGTCTGTCTTCACTGCCTGTGGATGAGGGTGGTGTGTGAGCTTGGGGGGTTTTAAGCGTGTGTGCTGTGTGCTGTGGGGAGGGAGGGGGGAGAAAAGAGACAGACGTCGCATACATGTCTTTCCCGGTCAACACAACAAGAGCCGTCCGTCCAAGCTTCCTTGATTCATTGCCAACAGCAATTTGCTGTCACATCACCGCACATCACCCACCGCCCATGAGGCGAGCGAGGGAGGCAGATAGACGAAAATCCATCAGCAATCAGTCCACCCACCCACCCACCCATCTGCAGATATGCATGAATTGCGTTTACCACACCACACACACACGTATGCATGCATATGCATCGCGCAACAAACAGCCAACAAAACGGACAGGCGGATCCGGCAAGCAAGGTAAGGCAGCGAGAATTCAGGCAGGAGTAAGACTCCTGCCCTTAAAGACCGAGCCCAACAACAGCAGCTGTCTGTCACGGCCGGCAGCAATACAACCATGCATCACTCCCCACCAGCCCCCTTCTCCGCCCCCTCCCCGTCCCTGGGTCCCTCGCCATCGTGCTCCATCTTCCTTTTCTCGCCCACCCCGCCCTCCGTGCCACCGGTGGCTCTCTTGACAGGCACATAGACTTGTGTCTGCTTGTGCTGCTTCTGCTGCTGCTGCTGTTGGTGCTGTTGCTGGCCGCTGTGGTGGCTCGCAGGCGGATCTGGCTTGCTGCTGTTACCATTGCCGTTGGTGTGCTGCTGCTGCTGCTGTTGTTGTTTCGGCTGATACACGGTGGCTTTGGGGTAGTAGGACTTGGCCTGAGGCCGCCCGCCGCTACCACTGCCACTGCCCCCGCCGGCCGATGGCGGCCGTGAGTTGCCTCGACTGCCCGGGGCCGAATGGTGCTTCTCCTGCTGCTCCCCGTGCAGCGTGCTGCCAGCTGCCGCACCACCATGGTCGTTTTCGGCGCCTTCTTTCGCCTTGGTCTTCTGGTCATTCCCCCTTCGCCCGGCAGTCGGCACGAAGGCAGTCCCCTTATTGGTCCGGTGGCTTGACGGGACATAGCTGGGCTGCCCCCCTTGTGGGTTTGGCGGCCGGGCAGTCGTGTGTGCGTTTTGCGGTCGGTTTGCGAGTGGCATTGAGGGGGGCAGGGGCCTTGTTTGGGAGAATGACTGCGGCACCGCTGGTGGTGCGTGTGCGTGTGGGCGGGGGTGGGGGTAAGAGGGGTGGG